GCTCAAGACTGCGGTGTGTGTGGTTGGATGGGGAAAAGGGGGGGCTTCATTAAAACAAGCTCTTTTGGCGCGACCCCAACTGTCATTCATTGCCTGGCACCCCAGAATTGTCTAATTTGCTTAGAGGCCAGGCTAGTCCTTAAATGGAGGAGGCTAATAGAATTTGCCTAGTTGCTTGAAAAGAGCATAGGTCACGTGTCTTAGATTTGGGCTCATATTAGGATGAGAACATTTTGGACCACATGGGGTTTTCATATTCTTCCGCAGGAACACGGGAACGTTGAATGATTTTGCTAATCTTGAATAAAATCAGCCTTGTAGGCCTACTGTTGTGACGACAATAGGAGAAGTGGTAAGACATGTACTGATCTTCTGATAAGGGTCAGGACAACATGGTAGGATGCTGTGACACTTTCTTCTTTCATTTTCAGCTTTAATGAATTATAGGGTTCATTAGAGCTTTGGTAAAAATATGCATGCTGGTTTCATTTTATAAAAGAACGTAGGACAGGTTCTAATGTGAGCAAATGGGCACGTGTGTTTCTGCATGGATAAAATACATGACATCAACACAGTTGTTGCCAGAATTGATTTTATTCATGCAGAAATGATGCACACATTCAAATCAAGTACATTTGATGCATTATTTATTTCAGTGCATATTAACAGAAACTACAGAGACATCCGGCTGCAAAAACCAATAACTGTTAGCCTGATGTATTTAAGCTGCAATTCTTTTGTTTATGCACTACTGTTGTTGTTTACAAACAGTATCAAAATCTATCATATGCAAGCACATGACAGATTAAGTTAGCTGCTGGGTGGGTCTTCATAAATGCATATTCATATTGCATAAAGTTGATGCACACAAAAATACTTTAAAATCTCTCTTTACATTGACTTACATGAAAAGTATAGACAGTTTTTGCCTTCTCCTGTAAAGTTACTATTTTATGGAGTTGTTTTTCTTTGGGCAGCTGCGCTATAATACTCTGCATTTCATCACTGACTGCTTCAACAAAGAGCTAATGAGAAATCAGGTTTATTTGCTGCCCTCTTGTGGATGAAGATGATTTTACAGAAGAAAGTGTCTCACTAATTCTCTTTCAATTTAAAATAGGTCTGTTCTCAACTAATATTTTTACTAAATTAAGTTTGAACTGTATCATATGCATTATGTGAAAAATGTACTGTTTTTCCTAGTTACATATTTCTTGCAGTTTGTAGTTATTTTTCTCAGCTTCATTGCGGTGCGTACCTTCCAAAGGACAGATTTCACAAATATTCCAAACTGGTATTTGATGACATATTTATTGTTTTCTTTTTTTCAGACATCTGATCAGTTGGAACAGAGAAAAAAAGAGCCAGTAGTTCTACATTTTAAAAAATACTATCAAAAACTGAATACAGTGAGTTTTATTCATTATTTGACATACTATGTTGCCCTAAATCCAGCTAAATGGGATTAATTTTACTGTCTTTATAATGAAACATGCAGTTGGTCAGTGTTCCCCAAGTACTGACTGACTATACACAGCATGTCCAGAAAAGCCTATTATATTGTATTGTGAGGTAATTTATCACAATAACAATATATATATATATATATATATATATATATATTGTCACATTGCCCAGACCTAACTAATATTTAGTTTGCAGTGTCCTTTTTTGTGTGTGTTCAATTTGTTTCCATTATGTTGGTGAGAGCTTCTGCTTTGTGATTGGTCACACTTTCGACTTTTGAGGTTTAGCATTTTGTATTAGCCCAAAACTGCATCAAAAAAACAGAAGATGTACTATGAAGTTTTACTTTTATAGGTTTAATGACTTTTATAAGTTACTCAGTACTGAAGCAGTTTTTTTGACCTGGTAATTTTGTACTTCTCCTCAAGCTGTTTGTTGGAGGGAAATAACAATATTTTTACTGGAGTTTGGGTATAGGCTCCTCTACACACCACTGGTACCTTATATGGTCATGTTCTGATGCAGACTGCTGACACAAACTAGGCCAATGGTCATAGTTGGTCATAGTCACCCTTTTAATGTAGAAAACGTTCAAAAAGAAACAACAAAAATTCACAAGTTTTGGTTTGGACAGCAGATAATGAAGTAAACTTTAATTAATACAAAATCAAGAATACTTTGCTTCTTTCTTTCTTTCTTTCTTTCTTTCTTTCTTTCTTTTCGTTGGGATCAACTCTCCAAATGGCACATACAGTGCTTTAAATGTGCTTCATTCAAATGATGTCTACACAGTTAATTCCAAAAGTAAGTCAGCTGAAAGACAGTATTGTGTTACTGTATTTTATACTTGTAAAAAATATGTATACACATAAGTGAAGTAAATTCAGTGCATCTCTTGTTTCCTCAGTCTGGCTTTTTTAAATTCCAAAAATCTCAACAAGACGCAGGTCAGGGGAGGTTTGGAAAAATTGACTTCTTCAGTCTTAAACAATTCTAACCAATAACAGTAATTAGAAACCATTTTGTGTGTTGAGTAACTGCCTGTGTAATTAATACCTTTCCATGAGAAAAAAATGCAGAATATGCTGATACAGCTGAGGTGCAGCAGACCAACATAGTAATAAACAGAGAAAAGCTCAGCCTTTTAGGCCTCAGGCCATAAAACTTAACTCTAACACGACTTACATATGAGCCTCTGACCTGTCTGGGCGGCATAACCAGCACATCAGAAATTCACAAGTGTAATTGCTACTCACCTTCTGTGTCTTCCAGTAACAGGCTGTCTGACTGTGATTGCTGGCAGATGGAGGAGTGAGCTGTGTGTGGGGGGTGTAAGCCCCCTGAGCCCTGTTCATTCCCCCTGAGAGTGCTGGACGAGCGCCAACCCCAGGTGGAGCTCTGTGGTCTGTCAGAGGCAGGTTTCTAGCAGGGTCTATCTGCACGCCACACTGGGGAAAATGCACAGAATTTACAGGAATCAACTGTTTACACCATTTCCTCATAATTGTCTTTCAGTTTACTTATTTACTTATTCTTGGTTATAGTTAAGTTCATGTGGAAGAGATGTACACACATCTGAATATGTATACTTTTGATTTAAACAGCCATTCAAAGGGTTTAAAGTTGAAGATATTCTTATCTAAAGACTTCAAATTTGTTTTTAGGAACAATAAAAATAGTTGATGTGAGTGGCACTAAGAATGATGTGTTGAAAAAAAGAAACATATTGAATGAACATCTAGAACACAAAGCATTATTGTTTTTCTTTCAGAATAAATGTTTTTCTTTCAGAATAAAGTAATTTTGTTGATCCAACATAATCTAATTAAACTGAATTGATCTAATCTGCTATCATTCTTACAGCTCAGTTCATTGAAGTTGATTTACTAGTGTTGATTTAACTTATGTTGGTCCCAGTCAGGTTAGAACAACATCGGCAGTAGAGAATATGGTAAAGCACAACAATAAGGCTGGGCAATTAAGCAAACTATAAGCATAGGAGGAAAGAGGAAAGACAACACAGAGATGGTGAGTAAAAGTAGAGGAAAGACAAGCATAATACAAATAAATGGAGCCCTGAGTCAATCAAATCTTTGAATATAAAAGCAATAATCAAAAATGTCTCCCTAACTCAGATTAGCTCAGTAATGTGGGGGATGTCCTGTTTTAAGTACAACAGGCTCTTGTCTCTTATGATGGCAGGTGGATGAGGCTGATCAATGCAATTCATTCTCTTTTATTTGACTCAATTGACTTTGGCTGATTTAACACTTAGGATAATAATGTTCTTTCAAACCTATAACTTTAAATACATTTTATAAACTGGTCAGATTAGTTTATATCAATTTGTTTCCCCATAATGTATAAGAGCCAGTTCTATCTTTTTTCACTCAAGTGAAGACCTTGAATGTCTAGAACAGGGGTGTCCAATCTTATCTGCAGAGCGCAGGTGTGGCTGCAGGTTTTCATTCCAGCAAAGCGGGAGATCACCTGATGAAATGCTTAATGCCTGAGAGGAACTGATTAAACTAATGGAATCAGGTGTGCTTCAGCTCGTTTAGAGTAAAAACCTGCAGCCACATCGGCCCTTTGCGGATAAGATTGGACACCCCTGGTCTAGAACCTCGAGGCAGATACTTTGACGAAAATGACAAGAAATAAATGCAGTTTGCACAGCGCTAATTGATGCGGAATACAATTCCATACTTCCATATCTGTTATTTACACCACCTTTCAAAATTCAGAATCACAGTTTTAGTCATATGATACTACTTCTTAGAGGTTTTAACTCATTTGTAGGAAGGTGTAAAAATGTTAGACGTCTAGAATGATGAACAAAGCTGTAGATGATTCTATGATTGAGAAAATTGAGAATAAAGACATATTGAAGAAACAATGAACAATGAAATGAACATTGCCTCATATTTGAAAAGTGATCTGATTTAGACACAAAAGACTTACCAAGAAAGAAACTGTCAATCACAATATATTATTTATTATTTAATAACTCATTTTAAAATTCAAATATTGAATAAAGCCTCTCAAAATAGTCTCTGGTGTCTGGCTTATAGCACTTCAATCTACACTGTTTAAAATATTATTGAAAACGTTGCAGCAGTTATTCATATGGCAATTGATCCAAGACTTTAACACTTAGCCTCGTAGGTCCAGTACAAAACTAATCAAACTTCAGACACATTAAATTTCAAGACTAATACTTTCATGAGAATCACTAGAAGTAGATTACACCTTTATTATCATGTAATAACTGTTCTTATATTATGTGCTTTAATTTTACATGCTTGAATGACAGCTCTAAAAATACCTTGGTATCTAGTTTATATTATTCAACTCTACCTGATTTTAAATAGAGTGACTAAAGCAGTGTACTCCACTACTCATTCATTCCTGGCTGCATAACACTCTTTTACAGTGTAATAACCTACATGAAGTAATAACTTTACTTTAACTTTGAATATATTCTTATATAATCTAGATCTGACAATGTCTTTTTGCAAAGAAAAGCCAAACTGTATGTTGTCAAATATTTATTCACATATATAAAAATGTACACTCTGTACACACAGATACATACACAAGGCAACACCAAATGTTTTAACACCAAAATACAAATTACAGTGTTTTTCTTAGTAGTTACACATCATCTTTGTTACAGATGGAAGTAACAAGTTGTATGGGGGAAAACACCTCCAGTCATGTAAATGATGATGTGCTGAGCTACTGTACCATGATGTGCAAACACCTAATACATTCTAACCACCACAGTTCATTGGTTAGTTTATCATATAATCCTGATCATGTGGTGTCACCAGATATAATGACTCTGGACGCTGATGTTACCTGAATTCTGCTCTGTCTTTTCTTTGTCAGCTGATATTGCAGCAGATATTGGAATGATATTGGTGTAAAAGTTGGCAATTTATGAACAAAACACTGTTATTTTGCTCCTCTTTCGAATCTGCACAGCTATATGTAAACACAATCAGCAACAAATTGGCTGCTTGAGCACTCTCAAATCCATCTCAACCTGTCGTTTAACAGCAGAGTTGACACGTAATACAGGAATGGTGTGTTGAACAAGGATGGAGCACTTTGGTTTTGTGGACTCACAATGACCAGACGCACTGGCTTCTAGGAGTCTAAAAGTCATCTCTGGGTTCAGTCACAGTGTTCGAGGAGGAGGGTGAAGTGGAGCAGAACTGGGCTAGATCAACAGGTGTGTCTGTAGATGTGTGGTTTGTGAGAGCGTATCCTATCAGTATGGTTGATCAGTGAGGCTTGTGATGGGCCTGGTGTAAAGGACTGTAGTGCACAAAGTTAAAGTAGGATCTAGCACACGGTTTGTGAGGTTGTGTAGATATTAGTCTAGTATACATTGATACACTCTTAAAAATACAGGTGCTATAAAGGGTTCTTTGGAACAGTTCCAAAGAAGAAACCCATTGGTTTTAATGGATGGTTCTTCAAAGGACTTTGTAAATGAGATATGTGAAAGTGAACAACCATTTTTAAGTTTAAAGAACCTCCACATAATATAAAGGTCCTATCCTAATTAAAGCTTTTTCCTAGAACTGCATGTCCAAGCCTAGAAGCAATTAGGAGCCTTTATTTTTAAGAGTGTAGCAATGTCCAATCTGTATTTCAACTCCCTGCTTTTACTTCCTGTTATGAAAAATAGGAAAATAAAGTGAAGGAAAGGGACTGTGACACACGTACATTTTCTTCAAAACCACAAAGGTGTTTTGTTAAGTCAGCAGTATACTTCAAATGAAATCAACATTTAGAACCAAAGTGGTGTCTTTTGGGCCAAAACGACACAGTGGTTTGTGTTCATATGGTGTGGAGTGCACCGCTTGCTGAACAGAACCTCTAATTCAAGTTTATTTTAAGTACATTTACAACAGCGTGTTTACTGGTAGTTGAATTTCGTTTAGTTCTGAACTATACTGCCAGCTTTACACTTAAACTGACTTCAAACATGCCTTTTAGGGCTGAATTTCAAACTTGTACAATAATACAATGGCTGCTCCATCAGTCACTGTGCTCCTAGTAATGAGATGTAATGTAATAAGAAATGTGTGTCAGTATTTATGGCTGGGTCTGGCTCAGATCAGATCACATTCCCTGCATTCAGTCTGTTGGAAAGAACTGAGATCTTCAAAGTCTCCCTAGTTCATTTTGGAGAGCTGCTCAGAGAAGAGCTTCTTGAGCTGGGCCACCTCTTCACTGAGAGAGCTGAGCTGAGATTTGAGCATGCTGTTCTCCGTGTGGTAATACGTGTCGCTGTAGTTTGCAGGCAGCTGGCTGCTACCGTAATTGCCAGCCGGCCCACAGTGAGGATGAGCGAGCATCTTCCGAGCTTCGTCCCCCTCCTGCTGCCAGTATCTTGCCCCTTCGCCAGCACCCGATGGGAAATGGTTTCTGGGACCATCTCGTCCACCCATGGACTGCACGGGACTGCGCCGGTCGTTGGGGTTCTCGCCGTCACCACTGCCCGGACATTTGAAGCGCAACTTGTGCGGGAGGCTCTTCATGCCTTCCACAGGCTCACCCCGACTGGATGTCATGGAAATGTGCCCAGTTGAGCCTTGTGCCCCAAGGGTATCGGGAACAGGGGAGTGGTGGTACTCGTAGCCCAGCTCCTCAGCCCGGTTGGGAGACAGCTTGCCATGGTCGCTCAGCCTGTCCTCAAAGAACACTGGACTTCCGACACTGGAGCCTCCAGGTGTGGAGAAGCCCGAGTCTTCCGATATGCTGCCAGCGTCTCTGATACCTCGTCCCATGTGGGGCACGGCATGTGCAGAATTCAGATGGTGCACCATAGGAGTGGCGGGATGAGGCCCATCTTCACGAGGCATGTAATAATGTGGAGCGGCTGGCTGAGGACCACAGGGTGCAGTGGTTAGAGGAAGGATGGGAGTGTTGGAAGGGTCTTTGACGAGGCCAAAGCGGAACTTGAGCGCCAGCAGTTCTGCCCTTAGCCTTGCGTTCTCCTCCAGCAGCCCCAGCACTCGGTTCTCCAGCACCATGTCGTTCATGCGACGTTTTTCGCGGGAGCGCTTGGCCGCCTCGTTGTTCTTCTTACGCTTGTCCCAGTAGCCCTCATCCTTCTTGTCCTGAGGGATGAATTCGCGCTTGCGTCGCAGTGAATTTCCACCTGGTGACACCTCTTTGCGTTTTAGGGCCGACGTGCGGCCCAACAGCGAACGTGCCAACAGGCTGCTCGAGGTCAAGATGGAGACCGCTTCATCTGTGAAGGACATTGTACCACTGGGGGCTGCAACGTCCAGCTCCAGCACTCCTGTGGCGACCGCCGGCTCCACAGCTGGAAGGACTCCTGAACTTTGCTCTCTCATTTCTTGAGATCCCTCTTCAAACATCCTTGTGACCAGTAGATGGTTGGGGTTTTCTTCCTTGCTTTAGGTGAATGCAGGTCAGCTTCACTGTGGTTGGTCTAACAACAGCTCCACCTGGTGGCCAAGAAGGGAATTTAAAAAAAGAAAAGCTTTAGTCATTACGTAAGATCCGTTACAACACAATGTTATGTAACTCCATTACATCGTTCCAGCAAGGCAGAGTACTCTTTGTATAACATGCTGTAATGTAGAGCAAAAAGCCATTAGGCCAGATTTATTATTATTTATACTTGCTGGTAGAGGTCAGCTATTTTGTACACCAATTTTAGGGAGCCAACTGTTGCTTGGGTAATATTCATCACTGGAAATGAGTGATTTTAGCCTGTTGATTTGACAGCACAGGTTTGCAGTATGAATCCAAATAAGCCCAAAACCTAAACTTCCTTCACACTGCATGACTTCAGGTAACAGAAAGGTTTCTTCAAGGAATTGTTCAGCTGACCTGCTAACACAGACAGTCTATGTGAGCCTGAACACCTTGTCAGTTGTGACGTACCGAGTGAGTCTATTCAAGGAATCATCGCTATTGCACAACACAGAGACTCGAAAGACCGGCTCAAAGATTCAAAGTCGAACTGATAGTCGCACTCAGTTCTTTGGTTAAGCACTTTTCCGAAACTTCAGTAGCCTGTTTCAGTTCTATTAAAGATGCGCCCAGGTAAAAAAAAACTCTACATGTTGATGGTTGATGGACCGTCTCGTTTTACGTTTTATGTCTTGATTCTTTTTAGCCAAACACCGTTGTTTTGCATCGTTAGCATTAGTTTAACGTGTAACACAAACGGAGCCATGAATTCACCATGAAAAGCAACATTAACCATGAAAAGCAATATTCAGGTCCAAGTGAATTCATTAACCATATTAAACGGTACGTTACAGTATCACGCTGCTCTACAGATAAAATATCAGATAAAGTGTTTATAATGTTATCGCCCTGTAGAGCTCCTGCTTTACTTTACGCTGTTCCACTCAGCTGCTCTCTCTCTGTACTGGGATACGCGTTCAACTTACTCAGCTCATTCACGAAACGCCGGAAGGACACTCTTCACCACAAGCCAGTGTTGTGGGAGAAAATTATACGAACCGTTATGCGTAGCTTATGTAGGAGCGTTTCAAACAGCCACTTTCTTTCAAGTGTACTTTCGCATTTTGTAAAACAGTCCAGTGTTGTCCGTGTCTTTGTACGTCTGTGTATCAATCATTGTAACAACATCCTCACAGTAAGTACCTCCAACTGTCTCTCAATGTATAACAACGCAGTTAGACTGATAACGTGTGCGCCGTTACCTTTAAAACGTCCGCCGTCTCCCGTTCAAATGCTCCAGTGAAAAGCCCTCTTGGTTCAAAGCGGGTCAGGCTGAAAGGCTGTGTTTAGAGTAGTTTGTGTCCCGAGTAGAGACGTTAAAGAAGACGCTGCCGGAACTAAACTGTTAACCGGTGTTATCTGTCGTGCTGCCGCCTTTCATCGCTCGTGTGTGCTCGACTCTGAACGTCGCAACTCCTATTTGTAGCTTTCTTTGGCGGAGTTCAGCCGAGGACGCTCTCTAACCTCGCCTGAACCGCGGGGCTGCGTTTGGGAGCAGTTGATAGAGCCGCGCGCTGTGTTTGCTTTTCCCACCCGTATTGAGGCAAACCGCGCCTCCTGCGCGAGGATTGGCTAGTAATTCATGTTCATGAGCGGTTTCAGGATTGGCCAGCGAAAAAAAAAATATATATTTTTAAGTATATATATCTTATAGCTGTGCAAAACAAATGACTGTAAAAATGAGAATGAGATAAATAAAAAAAAGGCAACAGTATTTCCCTTGTTTACTTGCTTTTATTAATAAGCAGATGCTCTCAAGGCAGACCACTTCACTCCAACATTTAGCATTCAACATTAACCTAAATGTTTACGTTAGGTTTTTAAACGTTTTATAGTTATAAATAATGTGTATACCCATCGGACTGTTTATGTAGTGGTGTGTTAGGACCAATTTGAAGGGTCCACAAAAATATTAGGGGCTCCTGTCACCATTGCCCCTCACTTGTTACACCACTGAGCTCCTCTGTCTCTTCTTATGTCTCTCATTTGCTATCTTTTGTTGAAACCACTGTCAACAATCAAAACTAGCCATCTAGGTGCACACTATCTGGTATTTTTCTGTGTTATTTACATACTAGTTGCAAGTGGTCTTCTTTGTTACTGGCTAGTAAACAGTCAGATGTCTAGGATGATTAGCTGATAACCACTCCTACGCTGTGATTGGTTGATCGCGGATATCTCTGCGCTGGGACTGGCTGCCCTGTTCTGAGGCTCGTCTAGTTGTCCTTCACTGAAATGGGCTAGTAGTTCATCCAATTCTAGCGCAGGAGGACCGCTCGAGAGTATGAACAGCCAGCCAATCCTAACCGGAGGAGGCGGGCTTTGTCGGAATACGGGTGGAGACCCTCAGTAGTTATGACCCCCGCCCGCCCCCCCCGAGTTCACCGCGTACTATCGCTAATCTCTCCCTCGCTACAGCGTTCGTCAGAATAATCTTTTCGAAACCATTAAGTAATATTGCTCAATCGCCCCCTCCCGCCCCCTCTCTGCGTCCTCACAAAGCACGGCTATCCTCAACAGATGAGACATCTATTTTTAGAGACCTCTGTTTTCCAGCGCCGGTGACGTGATCATCCACTTCCCTTTTTAACGAATGTATTATGTGGACGTGGTTACAAAACGGTAGACTACAACACGAGCTGTTAAAGATTATTCATAGCAGACATTACTAATCGCCCACTGTTTAAAAGTTAGGTGATTTAGTGACAGCAGTATAACAGCACCGGTAGTTGTTGGTGTTGGTTTTAATGCTAAGAATATCAGCATGTATTGGGTTGAAAGCTGTGCTCGTTTTCTTCTGAATGGTCTGCACGGTTTAGCTGAGCCACTCGGAAAACACAATAATTGCACTTTTTTTTGTTTACTTTACTAATTTGTAAAAAAAATTACTAATACAGGTCTGGTAAAACATACCATTTCTTGCACAGGGTGTCCCAAAAAATTGACATTGTTTCGTAGTCTAATAGCAGCCAATTCTCCCTCAAATGACCTCAAATTTAACAACATGTGTAAAGACTAACTAATTAATTTTTAATGTTTTTTTTTTCAGGTTGAAGAAAGGCGTTCACTAGAAATGAAAAGGCATTTTGTGTGTTAGAATATGCTCAAACACAGTCAAACAAGAGTGTGCAGCGTGCATTTTCAAGAAAATTCAATAAAAATGCACCAACTGGAAAGCAGATTTGGACATGGCACAAAAAATTCAAGGAGGAAGGCTGTCTGTGCAGGGCAAAGGGATCTGGACAACCACCAGTATCGAAAGATATTACATTTGTGAAGCTTTGTGAAATCGGTTATAAAATCTACATCCCTCTGAATTTCTTATTCAAATTTTGATAAATAAATCTTGTATTGTTCAACATGACGCCTATTTAATTTTGTTTGCCCAGGACATGTAGTTACTCAGATATTCACATCTCAAATGATGTCAATTTTTTTGGGACACCCTGTATAATCCTTAGTTACTGGGGTAAATCTAGTTATAGTAAATCAGTTGATTTGGATAAGTCCTACTGAGTGAAGCAAGAAGCTTCCTAGCATTCTTAGTGGTTTTGTTGATTTCTGCTAATTAACTCCTATTTTTCAAATTTATAAATATTCTTCTCTTTTCTAAATGTTATTTTTGTGTCATAGCATACTCTTATGCTAAAATGTAAAGTTTAGATGCATTTTACAGTTTTTGTTATTCTCTCCATGATGATGTTTTGTGTTTAGCTTCACTGGTTCAGACTGGAGCCATGAAAGCTCACACACTGGTAAATATGCATTAGACTACTGGGGTCTTCAGAGATGGGTCATTTTAGTCTCATGTGAGTCATGTATTTGTTACTGTATGAAGGAGTCCAATGGAAACCATTTATAGTTATTGGACTGAGTTGACCTTACTTGCTGCAGAAGTGTGGATCACTGGAAATGAGAAAGTATTAACTAATTTATGGTTATTTTGGCTTGAACCTATTAAAGGGGAACTCCACCCATTTTTAAAAACTTCTGCATTAATAAATGGTTAAGATGTAAACAAAGTCATTCAGAGTGGTTTGGTGTAAAATGCTTCGTTCTAGAGAAAATTACAGAGGCAGAATTGTTCACAGTAGTAGTGATAGGAACCAGACGTCTGAAGTGTTTAATTTCTCTAAAACCTCGCTCACAGGAAGTTATTACATGAAATGGTTACGAATGCATTGTCTGGTGTCAGACTCATTGTTTTACAATAGTTTTATGATAAGGTTTTGGCTTAAAATGTGTTGTAATACATTTGTTTTAATCCATCCATGGCTGAGGGATACAAGGTGTGAGGCAAAATAGTCAGATTTACCGCTATTTTACCATCATCAACATTACATATAAAGACTCAGAGGGTCCACATGCAGGTTCACTGGTGGCTTTGGAGAGTAAATAAAAAGGCTGTATTTATATTGCAGTCATTGTGACTCCTGGTTCCTATCGCCACCACTGTAAAGGAATCTGACTCAGTAAGTATCTCTAGAATAAAACATTTCACATCAAACTACCTTGAATGACTTTGTTTACATCTCAGCTACTGAATTATGCAAAATTGTTGAAAAATCAATGGAATCCCCCTTTAAGTAACTTTACCATAATTGTTCAAAGCAGAGACTGTGCATGACTTTTTAAGTCAACTAATTTAAATCTACAGTCTACAATCTGCCTTTGTAGCCTAAACTCAGGTCATGGTTGCTTAGTTTTCTTTCTAACTGCAGAGTGCATCTCTCAGTATTACAATCAGGATTCCTGAGGTCGCCCTTTTCAAGAATGTGTGGTCAAATAGAAGTAACAGGGGCCTCATCACAGTAAGCTAAAGGGTCTCTTGTTAGCCCCATATGGAAATCTGATGGACATATCTGCATAATACATGGATCATACATACTGTATGGCTGTAATAATATCTGTCAGAAATGCTGTTTAGTGGTATTCAGTGAGAAAGATACACAGCTCTTATACCAAGAAACAGAATTTTACAGCAAGGTCTAAATCCGGTTGCTAATCGAGTACTGTTTAGCCTCTTAAGACAATCTGTTCCTGGCCACTTTAGGCCTTTATGTGCAGCCACGAGTAAAGTATGTGTTTTTCCAAATTCTTTAATCAAGGCTCAAAAAGGTTTATACTCTTATTGAAGTAGTCCAGCATTTAAAAACCACAGTATAATCTATTCTTTCAAAACCCTTCTGATTCCATACTATAAATGATACAGTATCAGTGGTACATCATTTTCCACGATTAACAGCATCCCATGTTTTGTATAAATGTGTTAGAGTTGTTGAAGTGTGTTGCTGTGTTAGCATTAGCTGGATTCACCTTAAACACCCTCTGTGTGTAATTCTCAGCAGATTCCCACTCTTCTGATGTCTTAGCCGGAGGTGACTTGTCCTCATTTCCCCATGCTCTGATGCCTCGGTTCATTAATCAGTTAGTCTCAATGAGAGCCTTGAGGTGCACTCTTAAAAACAGATGCTAAAAAGGGTTCTTTCAACTAATGACGTTAGTGATCCATGGTTCCCTGAAGAACCTTCAAATGAATGGTTTGTTAAAAACTCATTCTTGTAAGTGAGATAGATGGGTGTGATGAACAATTGAAGTTGAAAAAACCTACATATACCAGTCTTGGATTTTTATAGCTAATTCAGATTTCTTTACAGCTAAATTGACATTTTTTCAGTCTGGTTTTTATTAGCCTTTTTTTCTAAACCAGCAGCTCACACTATGTGGGCTATATGGACACAGTAGCACATTTTCAGCACTTCTTCTATTAGCCAGAATCTCAATATAGGTAATCATATACAAATAACAAATTATTGGCTATTTAAATAATAATCAAATAGCTACATTGAAAATAAGAAGCAACTCGCTATTTAGCACACTGGGCTTGCAAGATTTTGCTACAATAGGTGTTGCAGTGGCATTCAAATACAGTGTGAATGTACCTACCTGGCTCATATTACTGACAACATAAAACTGCAACACAGATCAGTCAAAATCAACATAATAAACTGATCGATTGCTTGTCTGGAACTAAAAATGACAGGTTCCAATCATGTATCCTTATTTAATAACAATTAAAGATTGTTCTCTTTGATCAGTAAATACAAGCCAAAGAACCACTGAGGAACTTGTAGTTTTTGATGTGTATTTCAACATTGCGCAACACCTACATAGCATAAAAGGAAGCAAGATAGACGCCTATACTTACAGAGGATTTATATGTTCATTATTCACTGTTTTGAGTGATAAAGCCTCTTTGAAATCCTGTTGTCAGAAACTGTTTCTCAGAAATAGGCATTCCCAAAAGCATTAGCATCTTACAGAGAACTACAGTTTTCTATGAAATTAAATGATTGAGGATGAGCTTTGCAACACTTGTATGCTCTCTCTCTCTCTCTCTCTCTCTCTCTCTCTCTCTCTCTCTCTCTCTCTCTCTCTCTCTCTCTCTTTCTCTGGAAAACCCATCAAATTAATTTCTCCCTCAAGGTTTAACAAAACAAAGCCCCATGACCCC